CTCCTTATCAGGTTTTCGTCGCCGTATTTGAATAGTTCCGTCGGCAGTTCATCGACCCCCGCTTTGTTTTTCTTCAGATGGGTAATTGCTATTCGATCTTCTTCATGATCGGGCAATGGAACTACTGCGCCTTCGTCATCGATTGGGGTGTTATATTTTTACTACCACTCAGTAGGCTGGAGAAGGGTTCTCTTCATAATACCAGTATGTTCTGGTTATTAGTCGCTATATTCTTATTACCTCTGGGGTTTCAAAAAAAAAGTATGTTCCGGTCTTGAATGCATTTCCGGTAACTGCCTCAGGAAAATCGGTCATCAAAGATTGATATGCTAAGCTTAGACCTGATGAAATGAACAACGAAGACGGTGAACACAAATAAATCCACAAAATTATATTGTAAGACGTTGGTTGCAACACCAAGCACTACAAAGATATCAACTGAACGTGTACATCATATCATTCACGACAAAGCTCTGAGCATAGTTTCGACCACTGCTTGTGCCGATATGTGACGATAAATGAATTATGGTTCCATCGYTTCACTTCGAAGTCCAATCCACAGTCATCCGATTGGACTGCACACGCTGATCCCGCTCTAAATCGTGGAAAAAACAGTCGACTGGCAAGGATAAGGTGTCGGTATTTTATTATTCGCATGGAATACTTTTTTTTTGACGACTTTAAACAAACAAATAGCGATTATTGCATAAGGTTATTGGACCATTTGAAACACGATACCGAATTAATCCCTTCAAGAGAACAGCATATGTTAATAAAAAACGAATTTAAAACAGAAAATGCGTTTAACTATAGTGATACGAAAACTTTTAAACTGTCCTGTTATGTGTTRAAATTTTCCTCTTTACATATTTATATTTTCAAATTATTCTGTGCTGCTCTTCTTTGGTGAACTGCTTTGTCAAATTTAAAGCTTGATATTTATTTTGAAGCCCTAGTGTCACCCTGTACTGTTGAATAAACTTACTTTATCAYAAAACSTGTAGCTTTATCCACACGTATCGARCTTTTACTTTCCGCCACATTTAAGCAAAGCTTTTTGACAGGGGCATGCGCGGTCACAGTCGGATATAGACATTTATTTTTGGAGTTGCTGACAGAGAARCAAAACATAAGAAATAATACAAATTTGCAGAAGCTGGAGTAAGTTAGTAGTAAAGTTTATATATACATACATATGTATATAGAGATATATAGAAAAATTATTTTTAAATTTATTTACATATATATTCTACATAWAATGGGTGTTTCTTTAGAATGTTAATTTAAAACCCCTTAATTTTCAACCGTTTATTTCAAATTCAAAATTAATACGAAAATTGTGCTGAAAAAGGAATATTAAAAAGTAAAAAACTTAAAAAAAATGTCGAACTAGCTTCTTTTATACCTATTGGGCCGCATTAATCAGAAACCTTCCTTTCCAGCTCAGAATCATCATCGAAAAGAACAGATAAGTTTTCTTATGTTATATACTATATGTGACACTCTGACAATAGTTTTGCAGGCTGTTAAAATTAATTGCAAAAAAATATTGTTCCTGATTGCTAAAAAATCGGGATTACTTACCTTTTTGTATTAGGGCTTGTGAAACTTCAGAAAGTCTTAGAAGAGGAAAGGAAGAGAAATTAAATTTTTTGTGATAATCTTAGGACACTTTTTTGCTTTATAAATTTATAGTGATTAACAGTATATGCAAAGGAGACAATGATTTGGAACCACCTTAAGTATAAAGCACGCTATATGCGGCCTTAATTMAATTTTCTGAGTTTTCTATATTCTCATAAAATCACCCTTTAAAACGCTCGCAGTGCGTTTATCCCCAATTTCGACCTTCATTTATGACCTTCTTTACGTAGTTACTACAGTATACGTATCACGTTGTACTCGCGCACACAAATATTCGTAAATACATATGTATGTAYATCCTCCTTCCTTAAGTAGCTTATTACCTATATATGGGACAGTACAGTGAATCGGATAACTAAACGGATCGAACAAGTTAGTTAAAGTAGATATTTACAATTTGAACAGAATCGGTTAAGTTTTGGAAATTCGGGAAGGTCTTGAGTTGACTCGAAATCACGCGTTTTGGGAAATTATTCTACGCAGAAACCAGCGTCGTAATCCACGATACCGATGAAATAAACAACACTTAAACTTTTTAGTACTCATACACCATCCCGTAAAACCATTCATATAAATGTTTAAAGATTACATTTTTCAGACAGTGAATTCAAGAACCTTGCATAAGAATAGGTTTTTTTGATAACTTTATGGTACTACATAGATATATCAAATCTAAGATGGCTTCCATAACAAAGAAGTTCCTCTAAATTTTGTGTCGAAATCAAATTTCTGGTGCCGAAATAATCAGAATGTTGGAAACAGCCTTCAATGATAATAATGGTAACGAGAAAATATTTTTGATTGWTACGAACCACGTCCAAGACGGCCATCAACATCAACTGATGATCAACAGTCAGAGATCTTATTGGCATCGTTGGAACCATTTTGAAAGTTC